CTCAAATATACCACCTCCACCTCCACCTCAGACATTAACACAAACTCAAACAACTACAACACAATCTCAACCCACTACAACTACTGTGACTCCCAACCAACCCACTACCAGAAGTTCCAACAGAATTTCAAGACCTCTTGATGACCTAGATATATACAGCCACTCTCTCAAACCTCAATCTAATTGCACAGAAACCATTTCTCAAATTGAACCATGTTCTGGGACATCTCTGTATCCTATTGAAAATTATTTGTCTACTGATAATCTCTCTGAATCTCATTCATGTTTCACTGCTGAAATTTCTAAAATCTCTGAACCTACTACTTATTCTCAAGCTGCCAAAAACCCACTTTGGCAAGAAGCTACGCAAAAGGAACTCACTGCCCTTGAAAATACTAACACTTGGACTTTAACTTATTTGCCCACTAACAAACACTGTATATGTTGTAAGTGGGTCTATAAAGTCAAATATAAGTCTAATGGTTCAATAGAAAGGTATAAAGCTAGGTTAGTAACCAAGGGTTATACCCAAGAAGAGGAAATCGATTACTTTGAAACATTTTCCCCTGTTGCTAAAATAACAACTGTGAGGTTTCTCATTGCATTAGCTTCAATTAAGAAATGACATATACATCAGTTGGATGTTAATAATGTCTTTCTACATGGAGATTTAGATGAAGAGGTGTATATGACACCTTCCCCTGGCTATTGTTTAAAAGATGACAAAAGAGTATGCAAACTGAACAAAAGCCTTTATAGTTTAAAACAGGCCTCCAGGCAATGGTTTCATAAACTAACAACTTGCTTATTAAAATATGGTTTTGTTCAGTCTGCCTCTGATTGCTCTTTATTCACCTTTTCCAACAATAGCACATGTTGTTTTATTGCATTTTCTGGGACTAATAGGATTGTCTATTCCACATTCCCTCAAGCAAGAGCTAGAAGGAAGGCCAAGACTAGCAGGTGATCTCAAACAAAGGGCTTGAGGATGGCACAAGGTAGGATTTGCGTCTGTTTTGAAGTTCTAATTATGCTACAAACTTGTATATGTAGATGATGTGATTATTGCTGGAAATGATTTGAGCAAAATCAACTCTATAAAGAAACATCTTGATGATTGTTTTACTATTAAGGACCTAGGTGTACTAAATACATCTTAGGTTTAGAATTTGCACGTTCAGATATAGGCATTAATATGTGCTAGAGAAAGTATGCACTAGACATACTCAAGGACACAAGTTTCCTTGGTTGTAAGCCTGCAACCACCCCAATGGACTGCAACACTAAATTGAGTATGGCCTGTGACACCAGTGAACCTACAGACCCCACAGCCTACAGGAGATTGGTAGGTAAACTTCTCTACCTTACCATCTCTAGACCAGATATTTCACGTAGTGTGCAGCTCCTCAGCCAATACATGTCCAAACCTACTCAGAATCACCTTTCAGCAGCCCACAGAATCCTCAGGTATATTAAAGGTACAATAGGTAATGGTATTACTTTTTCCAGACTTTCTTCTTTACATTAAAATGCTTATTGTGATAGTGATTGGGCTGGATGTTTGGATACTAGAAAATCTGTCACTGGTTATGCTATTTTCCTTGGTAATTCTTTGATCTCATGGAAATCAAAGAAACAACCAACCATTAGTAAATTTTCAACAAAAGCTGAATACAGAGCTCTTGCTTCCACCTCTTGTGGAATTGAATGGTTGTTGTATCTTTTCCATGATTTCAAACTTAACCCCCCCACCCCAATTTCTGTTTTCTGTGACAGCAAGTCTGCCATAGCCATTGCAATCCAGTCTATAATGAAAGGACTAAACACATTCAGATAGTCTGCCACCTAGTGAGGGAGAAGATTGCCCAGAAACTCATCCAACTTCATCACATTCCTACTAAAGACCAAGTTGTTGATTTGCTTACAAAGGCTCTCCCAAGCCCTGCCTTCAATCATCTGCTATCCAAGATTCACATGACTAATATCCATGTCAAGCTTGCGGGGGGATATTTGAATAATAAATTGTCATTTTACATTTTCTATTTTAACACTTTTGTAATAGTTGCTAGTACATTATAGTATAAGTTGTCATTCTCTTTTTAGGTTTATTTTACAGCACATATAAATAGACTCAACCTGTGAGACTAAGACCTAATTTTCATTTTCTTCTGTTTTGTTCTTCATCACCGTTCTATGAAAGTTTTCCTTTCCTTTTACTGGTTCATGTCTCTCTCTCTTTGATTTGTGTTTCTATGGCTTGATTCTACTTCTAAATCTGATACATCGAAAGTCGTTGTATTTTAAAGGCGTTTGCCGTTATCATTTGGTGTACTTACTGGGCAATTTCGTCTTAAAGAAAAAGTAATTATTACGTGAGTCGACTTTGATTTTGTTTACGTTGTTTTTTTATCCTCCTTAAGCCTACATTTGATATTCACAATTCACAAACAACACGAGTTTACAATTTTAAATATAATATCGTACATATAATTTAGAATATTTTATTTGTATATGAATTGGATAAAATACCGCTTTTCTTAGAAAGTGCTACAGTGTAGGAATAGAATCAGATAGCACTTTTGAAATGATACTTAAAAAAATGAAAAAGAGATGATATTTTTTGGTTTTCTTGGATATTTTGGTTTGGTTTGGTTAATTTTAAAAAAATGTAGTATGGTTAATTGTTAGTGGATATATTAAAATAATATTTAAAATAATTAAAATTTTGATGTGATTGTTAGTTAAAATATTGTGAGTGGATGAATAGTGAATTAAGATTGATGAGTGTGGATGACTGATTGATTGATGTTATATATTTAATTATATTGATGATATTGATAAATAGTGGGGTTGTGTTAAAATTGGGTTAAAAAAATTGTTAAGTTAAATGTTGATTTTTTTTATATTTTTTTATTTTTTTTTTATTTTTTGAGATTTCTTGTATACAAACATGCTATAAAAATGGCGGCACATTTTTCTGGCATAGCCATTGCACTCTTAGAAATGAAAAACCAGAAAATGGTCTAGGCATTGGGTCATATCAAAATTTTTGATTTCATGCTTACTGTTGATATCTTGGTAGATATGGTTAAATATAATTCGATTTTTTAATCAAGAGCAGGGACGAATCCAGAAATTAAG